ATGAAACAACTCACCGGATTAAATTCGAAAAAACACAGGTCTCAACTACTACGTCTTGTTTTCAAGCCAGACTGTACAGAGGTGCCATTGGATCCAAAAACATCCGTACAACTTTAACAAATCAGGGAAAACTTGGTTGCCTATAATCAATCAATTCAGTTTGAAACTTTCATTCTATATACGTAGATTATGTTACATATGATGCATTTGGCTTATATACGAACAATGAAAAACAAAAAGTATATTGCTTCTGTATAAACTCAAAATATGTACGTTAGGGAAGGGCTGAAGTACCAGGAGGAGGATGGGGGACGTAGGATCAAACCTTTTTACAAAGTATATTGAGTGACAAAATAAGGTAAAGCCGTACGTATGTTTATTAGAATTCAAGAACGTTTTACTTATCGATTTATTTTGGCATGAACAATATATATATATATATATATATATATACGAGTATAACTTGAGACGTGGTCATTGTCGTCTAGACCAGTTAGGTGAAAAATTAAAGCTTCCGCCTTTTGTTGGGTACTTCGACAAAATTTAAGCAAAGAGGACTCTTTATACTTTTTTATTCTCTCTAGCTTTCAATGGACTTTGCCATCATCATCAGGAGCTGCAATTACATTGATAACAGTAGCAACAATACTGTAAAAGAAATTTAAATTGACTTAACTTACAGTGGTATGTGAGGATGTTGCTAATTGTTGTTAACGTTCAGGATAAGGGAAACACCCAGTAACATGGTGAAAGCTGGATAGATGGTACAATGGTCAAAATTATATAAAATACACACAAATGTGTGACAAGAACAAGTTAAAAACAGATTAAAAATTTTTAGAACATGGAAAGCATTACATCCTGAAGCCACTTGATGATTGCACAAAATGGTGGTCATGGAATAATAAGTGAGATGAACCCTTTGACAGAAGGCCGAAGGTTGTCAATGTCTGTGTAGAAAGATGGAACGAATTGTGGGCGTGTGCCACGTTGCCGACAAACTTCAGATGATTTGATTTTCAGAATGTTATGTAAGAAATTGTTAAACCGATCAGAGGCAGTTGAATTAACTATATTTTAATTAATGGGCAATTAAATTACAATTATTATTAAATCGTGAGGAGAAAATTATTAGAATTTGAGTGGAATGAAGATTATTGGTGGAATCGACCAAGAAACAGATTCCATTTATGGTTGTGAAGAGTCAAAATTTGGGGAGATATGTAAGTGCTCCAATTTTTCGCAGTTTAGCAAATATGAGTAAATGACACTTAGTTGCTTAACATCTGTCTTTTTGTTGATACAGTTGTTATTCATGAAAATGTGGGACATTTCCAGGAATAAACGTTTGGATAGGTGTTTTCCTTTATCAAGAACTTTGATACTTGTGTAATTCATGGAGTGCCCTGTTGTGTTAACATGAGATGCTAGAGCGCATCTTTCAGGATGAAGCCTAGAATCACTTTTGTGTGAAGTAATCCTTCACAGTCTACTCTATCAATTGCAACAATTGCAACCAAATATACATAGGTCAGACCTCCAGATCTCTTAAAGGAAGGATTACTTTTCTTACATAACATTCTGAAAATCACATCATCTGAATTGATTTTTCAACGTGGCACACGCCCACAATTCGTTCCATCTTTCTACACAGACATTGACAACTTTCGGCCCTCTGTCAAAGGGTTCATCTCACTCATTATTCCATGACCACCATTTTGTGCAATCATCAAGTGGCTTCACGATGTAATGCTTTCATGTTCTAAAAATGTTTAATCTGTTTTTAACTTGTTCTTGTCACAAATTTGTGTGTATTTCATATAATTTGACCATTGTACCATCTATCTAGCTTTCACCATGTTACTGGGCGTTTCCCTCATCCTGAACGTAAACAACAAATAGCAACATCCTCACATACTACTGTAAGTTAAGTCAATTTAAATTCCACTAAATTCCACTAAATTTTACACTATTGTTGCTACTGTTATCATTGTAATTGCAGCCCCTGATGATGATGGCAAAGTCAATTGAAAGCTAGAGAGAATAAAAAAAGTATAAAGAGTCCTCTTTGCTTAAATTTTGTCGAAGTACCCAACAAAAGGCGGAAGCTTTAATTTTTCACCTATACGAGTATATATAGGCGAGAAATAAAGCTTCCGACTTGAGTTGGGTACTTCGACAAAATTCAAGCAATGAGGATTTTTCATACTTTATTAGTATCTAGCTTTCAATGGACTTTGCCATCATCATCAGGAGCTGTAACAGCATTAAGAAGAAATAGCAACTAATGTGCAAAATGATTTCAAATTTCTTACAATAGTATGTGAAACTGTTGACAAATATTATTAAGGGTTAAGCCCAGGGGGCTGCACGTATTAACGTAATTTTTTGCCAAACTTGTGCCCCATCGAAAACAGAATCGACGGGTCTGAGCGTTTTCCAAAGAAAAACTGAGCTGCCAGTAAATGCGTCTATTTCGTTTTCGATGCGCCACCCTGTATATGCCATAAATTATTAAAACCGGACAAACATATGTAAGTGTTTACCTTTTCTTGTCTCTGATAAGATCATCTACTTTGGCCAAAATCGGCTTCACTAATTTGTCTTCCTTGTTGTTTTCTAGAAATTTTTTGTGCGCTCCCCATTCCTGCTAATCTTGGTCTGTTTTAGATACGCTCGTGCTCGTCCAAATGCAATACACTTGGTTTTCTACTTATTACAAGTATTGCACCGATCATAGCATTTAAATATTTCTTCCATGGCCCACCTTGGTCTCATGATGGCTGTGTTTTGCTGTATAGATTCATTTAGCATGCGCAAATCACCTGCGTACTGTGACATCGTTTGTCCATCAATATTTTCTGTCTGCAGATCAGCAAAGTATAGGTTCCACTGATCGGTCCGAGGATTCACTGTCTACTCCACTCCATATAATTTGATAGTATAGTTTAGTTAAGTATTGAGTTGCAATTTATGATAACTACTTATTGCTAAAATAAATTTCTTCATTCAAAGAAACCCGATAATTATTTTGTGCCAGAACTTCTAGAACATTCGCTAATAGAGTCAGTCTTTTGAGAGGTATGTAGTAACCACTGCGGCATGATCTCGTTGTCGAGGTGTATCTGACATGGCTTTAACTGTTCGGAAAGGTTGCGTTTGTGTTATCTTGCCTTTGGTGAAACCATGCTGACATTCTGCAAATTACGATCTAGTAGCCCAAAGGCATTTGGTACTTAACCTTAATAATTATTTACTGTGTCTTGAAAAGTCAGTCTGCTCGAGAAATACAACAAGAAGTTCTTCTTTCTTTCTTATTCGAGAACTGTTCGGGAACTTGAAAATCATTAAATACTGTGTCTGCAAAGTTGGGGTTTTCCTTTTCAGAAACAACTACCCTTGAAATAACAAAGGTAATGTGTAGTGAAACGAGGGCGACCAAGTAAAAAAAAATAAAGGAAAAAGTACTCACTCTCCAGTTGACGAGAAGGGCTAAGTACGTCTCTGTCCGAAATCATACCGCTCCAACAGAAAATGAAACAGCTGATGCGCTACCGAGCAGACGCAGAAACCACATTGATTGTCTTACACTTAATGGCACTTCTTCTAACAAGGAAGGCAACATGTTGCGTAAAAAGTCTAGGTATTGCCTCCCGTCCAATCGATTTGGGAAAATAAATGGTCCAATGAGCATACCGTTCACCATGCCAGCCCAAAGATTCACCGACAATGTTTGTTGAAATGTTCCCGACGGACAGCGTGCGGATTTTCTACTGACCAAACATGAGTGTTGCGAAAGTTATTCACCCCATTACGCGTGAACGTAGATTCGTCTGTCACCAATATGGACTTCAACAAGTCCGTATTATTGTCATGTTGATGCAACAACCACTCACAAAACCGCACTCTTGCTGGAAAATCGTCAGTTTGAAGGGCTTGTACACGTTGGACGTGAAACGGATACAGCTCCTCTTCACGCAGCGTTTGTTACACTTTAGTTTTTGATACTTGCACTTCTCTAGCCACGTCTCTAGTGCTTGTTGAGGGATTCTCGACTACGCGATTACCTCTACACGCGTGACCGTAACCGTCGGTTGAAGGTTGCATACTGACCCCGACCCAGATCTGTCGTCGGGTTGAGCCAGTGACCTTGTAGCAGTCGGTGATGTCGCGGCTACAGGACGGTATTCAGATATTTTGATGTTGCACAAAGTGGGGATGTTTCCATCTCCTGAGCCCTGTAGATGCTCGTGTTACAATTAAATGAATAAAATCTTAATTAAGAAGTTCAATCAACTGTAGCAAAACAACTATGTTACAGTATCATCTGTTCAGCCCACAGACCTCCAAGACTCTACATAGGCCTTACTAAATAATTATAAATGATGCAAACTTACCTTGATATCTTACGATGGTACCGCGTTCTCGAACCCGACAGAACGTTTTCCTAAATACGCGGGCGCCAGGTGGGCTTCTGGTCTACGCGATTACCTCTACACGCGTGACCGTAACCGTCGGTTGAAGGTTGCATACTGACCCCGACCCAGTTCTGTCGTCGGGTTGAGCCAGTGACCTTGTACCAGTCGGTGATTGTCGCGGCTACAGGACCGTATTCAGATATTTTTGATGTTGCAGAGCCCTTTATCTCGGTTTCCTTAAGACATTGGTGTATATGGTACTAAGAAAAATTGCTTATGTTTTCAAGATCTACACGTCGTGTAAAGGAAAACCCCAACTTTGCGGACACCCTGTATAGGCTTGCATGTTTTGGGATCATTTGATGCAATTAGGAATCCACAACAAGTGGCTTCCAAAATCCTAGAAAAATCAATGCCGCGGTTACTGAGATCAAGCAGTGACAGAAGTGGTGCAAGCCAACAAATAGGTGAAGAAAATGAGTGACGTTTTATTAAAGATTAATAACAAAGTTTCTATAGTTAACCATGGACGTCAACAAATTCCATTATTTCATCCACGAACACTGTTTTACCTAACAAGCATGGCGAAGTAAAACAAAATCTCACTGTTGATATTTATTGAAAAATAAATAACTGTATACTGCTTAACCTACTATTTGAAATGAGCTGCTCGACTATTCGACGACAAATCAGGATCAACACCATCTCCACGAGTCCTTAAATAAGAATAATCACAGATCTAGTAAACACCCCTTCCTCTTGACAGAGCTTAAGCCAGATATGTCTACTGCTCTTTACGATCTCATCCTGGAAAAGTTTGTCTCAACGGTCAGCTAGTTATCTTTACTCCTTTGTATCACATTCTGTTTCCATCACACTAGATTACCTTTTCACCTCTTAACATAGACTGTATCTCTTCTAAAGACTTTCCTTTCGTCTCTGGCACAAACAATATCGTGAAAATAGCTATGAAAATGCAAACGATCCAAAGAAATAGAAGGCGGCATACAGCCCAACAAACTTGACCATCCACTGGTACAGTGGATAGCAACAATTCCACCAATGATAAACATAGCATCTGACATAGTCATTCCAATAGTTTTGAGGTTCGTCGGAAATATCTCGGCTGTTATCACTATAGGCACTAAACCAACGCCGATCTTGAATACTGCTGCGTATACCATCACTGACGCGATCGGTATCCAACTTACAGCCAAAACGTCAACTCCTATTATCTTCAAATGGAAATAGATAGCTATAGCTACAAGGCACACTCCAGTGAGAACGCTTGAGAATATAAGCAACGCCTTTCTTCCATACTTGTCTATTTGGGATGACGCGAAAGCAGCAGCAAGCAACATCAACGCAGCAAAAAGTATAGCTGCGATTGAAGAGTCCATGTAGATAGAACCAGCAGCCTCCAAGATCAGATGTAAATTCATCAAGATGACACTGTACGCGCAAAGATGCTGACCAGCGTTGAGTACAGTCATGATCAGTATAGCTTTTCTATTGCTAGCCACAGTCACAAGATCCGTTAACTTGGCTTTTTGTTCTTTTGACTTTCAAGCTCGTCTGTGATGACTTTGAGTTCTTTGTCTACGTCAAGGTAAGGTTTGAAATGTTGCAATGACTTCCTGGCATCTTCGATCTTTCCTTTAGTGACTAGGTACAGTGGTGATTCAGGTACAAACGAGAATATCAGCAGCTCCAATGCAGCTACTGAGACTCCAATAACACACGGCGTATAGTACGGGAGATACGGTCCGACACAGTATACTATCAGGCAGCCAAACAGCATCATGATATAGATGACACTGGAGAGAAACCCTCGAATTCTCTGATCAGCTATCTCCGCGATATACATTGGCGCAGCAACGAAGGCCATATTTCCAGCCATACCCTTGAAGAACCTGGCGATGAAGATGTAGATCATGCTATCTCCGAATGCTATGGCAATCCAGGCTATGAGTACTGTAAAGGAGGCTAGTAGAAGAGATTTCTTTCTTCCGACGTAGTCGACGAGTATTATTGTAGCTGGTAGACCGCAAAATGAGCCGAAAAGGAGGGAGCTCTCCAACCATTGAGCTTCGTCATGGTCAGTGTGGATGTGGCTTCCGTTGCTGATGAGGTAGGGATGAAAGGAGCTGTCCAGCCGTAGGTCATGCCATCTGATATTGCGAAAAGGGTACCTGGAAGAAAAAGAAGGGTATCATTAGATGAGTCTTCCAGATAGTCAGTCGATAATCAGTTACTTGTGGAGTAGTACAGTGTTGATACTACACGGTGGACAGAAAGTGTACCTTAAAACTACAGTATTTGATATACAGGGTGGCGCATCGAAAACGAGACAGACGCATGTACTGGCAGCTCAGTTTTTTTTTGGAAAATGCTCAGACCCGTCGATTTTGTTTTCGAGGGGGACACAAGTTTGGTAGAAAATCACGTTAGCACGTGCAGCCCCCTAAGCGGGGGTGACACCACCCTCAAAATCTTAAATGGAAAGGGGGATCGAGTGATACCTTATTTTAAAGGTCTTTCAATTCCATTTATAATGTTATAAAATTAATGTACTTCAGTTTAGTAGTTTGAAGACTATTTATTTAAAGCATAAATAAAACTGATATATCATCATTAGTGGAGATCAATACATTTGGCAGCAAAGTAATTTAAAAATGAAGAAAGAACTGACCCTCGAGAACAAAATCGACGGGACTGGGCGTTTTTCAAAAAAAATGAGCTGCCAGTAAATGCGTGTTTCGTTTTCGATGCGCCATCCTGTATATTCTGTTGAGCAGGGGACCCCTCAGGGTTATAGAGAAAGCCGTGTATCATCAACTATATAATTTTGCTGAACAATCTGGTATCCTCAATACATCTCAACATGGGTTTAGAGCAGAACGATCTGTTGGAGCTCACTTGTACACGTCTATGATAAACTTGATAATGGCGGATAAGGGTTGACTGACTTCCGATCTATCTACGACATTTGACACTATAGATAAAAATATGTTGATGCAAAGAATATATACTAAGGGTATTTATGGAGGACAGAAAGCTTAAAGTGAACCGTGGAAGTACAGTATCGATGTGTATCCTGTTGAGCGGGGTATCCCTCAGGGATATGAATTGGTTCCACTCCTATTCAACTTGTATACTAAGTGACATATAAATCCGAACACCCAGATTGAATGGTTTTATTTTAATAAAAGTTGGTGAATGTATTTATCTTACTGTAAACAAGTGAAAAATTTCAGCCTTATCAGTTGAACATTCCGGTTTTTATACTGCTTTTTTTTAATTCACTAACGCTCTAAAAATAAATTATTTCAGCCGCAGCAAAGAATCAACGTTGGCGGATTTTGGTTCTTGACATCCTTTACGATCGGTTACGATGCCTAGAGTATGGAGACCTGTACGATTTCGTCAACTTAGTGAGTTTGATTGGGGCCGTATAGTCGGACTTCGGGAAGCTGGACTTTCTTTTCGGGCAATTGCAGTTAGAGTGCAAAGAAGAGTGTAGACACTGTGGTTAGGTGTTGTCAGGCATGGCTTCGAGAAGGCCGTACGCAAAGAGCAAGGGGCACTGGACGCCGCCGTAGAACAACAGACCGTGAAGATCGCCGCCTAAGATTATTGGCCTTACGGGACGTTTCTCCACTACCAGGTCCATTGCAAATGAATGGTTTGCAGAACACGGAAGACCTTGTTGGCATGCGAAGTAGGTTTACCGACGAATGAGAAGTTTTGGCTTGTTTTCATACCGGCCACACTGGGTCCTCCCTTTAACTCGAGAACACCGACGTAATCGCCTTGAGTGGTGCAGACAACGGTCACTCTGGGATCAGGAATGGAACAGTATTGTCTTTAGTGACGAGTCTCGATTTTGTTTAGGCATGCACGATGGTCGTGCCAGGGTTAGAAGGCGACGTGGTGAAAGGAGGAATCCACAGTTTTTGTTGAAAGACATGTTCATCACACTGTTGGAGTTATGGTTTGGGGTGCTATAGCTTATGGTTCCAGGTCACCTTTAATCTTCATCAGAGGTAACATGAACGCGCAGTGTATATCCACGAAGTTCTAGAACCCCATCTTTTACCCTATCTTGACACCCTGGCAGATCCAACTTTCCAACAAGATAATGCCCGACCACATGTTGCAAGAGTCACAATAGACTTCTTTCAACATAATGATGTCATTACCATGGCCACCAAGATCTCCCGACTTATCCCCAATTGAGCACGTGTGGGATATGATGGGTAGGAGATTGCTCAATTTGCAACGTCTCTCTCAGACTCTAGGAAGCACTTCGAGAGGAGTTGGTGGTTGCCTGGAATGAGATACCACAGGAGGACATTGACCACCTGATCAGAATGCATGCCTAGGCGCGTTGGAGAATGCGTAGCACATCAGGGTGCATCCACACATTATAAAGGTCAATGGGCTTTTAAAGCAGTGCAATCATTTTGAAATTTCTATCATTTACTTATTATGCTTCATTAAGTACTTATACAAAATTTTATATAAAATAAACCATTAAACTGGGTGTTCGGATTTATATGTCACTTAGTATAGTAAGTGATCTGCTCAGTCATATCTCTGAGGGGTGTGTAACTATAATTAATATATTATGGTATAAAAAATACTAGGTACATAGTTTCATAGCAGGTTAAATTTAAGGAACATATTGATCATGTTTGTAAAAATGTAAGTAAAGCTAAACAGGGTGTCCAATTAAGAATGCGAGGGAACCTACAAAACGGCCATGAGATAACCTGGAAAATATTTTACACATTTAAACTCCAACGCCTTGGTGCTGAACTTGAACGCAACCAATTCAGATCTTTTGAAGACCAATAATTCCTATTGTGTAGATCCCCCCAAAGAAGTCTACTCAGGGCCAAGGGCGTTGGAGTTTAAATGGTGGTGTCGCATACTGGGAGGCAGAATTATTGGGCCATATTTTTCAGAGCAATCCCTAAATAACATTGTCTTTCTTGACTTCTGGACAATGAACTACCGTTGTTGTTATATTATTATATTATATTTATTTACCCATTCTATATTATTATAGTTAAGTTTTGCATATAGAAACATAGTTGGCCGCGCGGATCGAACGTCAGTACTGAATCTTAACCTCACCTTTAGTGAGCGCATGCAGATGTGTATTAATCTTCGTGGAGATTACTTCGAAAGACAATAAAGTCATTTAAAACTTCCTACCGTGTTTTTTTTTCCA